CCCTTTTCTGTTCCCCCATGACTGTTCCCTGTGTACAAAGCGGCAGAGCCTGGGATCGAACCTGGGCCTTCTGCAGTGAGAGGCAATGTTTCTTCCCACTGAGCTACCTGGGATGCTGGACAATACTCTGCCTGATTTATTGGACAATCTTGCCTTGTGCCTTGTTTTCTTTTGAACCTTGAACCCCTTGCTCCTCCCATGAACTTCCTGATAAAAGCCATGTCTCTGCACTTCCTGGTTGCCAGATTATAGTGCCCTCCAGTCAATATCCCGCTTGTCTCTCCTGCTGCTGTCTACATCCTCGTTACTGACCTTTGGCTTGCTACTGACTACGATTCTGCCTCATCCTCATCTACTACCATTGGTGACCGACCCTTGGCTTGTGACCGACCCTTGGCTTGTGACCGACCCTTGGCTTGTGACCGACCCTTGGCTTGTGACCGACCCTTGGCTTGTGACCGACCCTTGGCTTGTGACCGACCCTTGGCCTGTGACCGACCCTTGGCCTGTGACCGACCCTTGGCTTGTGACCGACCCTTGGCTTGTGACCGACCGTTGGCTTGTGACTGACTCCTCTTTTGTCTGATCCCTGAACTGTTTGATCCGCTCTTGGTTTCCAGCTTGTTCATTCCCTGGTGGGGGATCCTGAGATCTGTGACCTGGTATTCACACGCAGCCAAATCCATCTCCATCATTAGGAGCTCTGGGGAAGACCGGGTTAATACTTAGACCCCGCACCTCAGGTGAACCTGCGTCATTCCCAGGGTGACCCGCTGGTGTACCTATCCTGCTGGTTTCAGGTAAGCCTTACACTGGTCTCTGAACCTGACCCAGACCGTGACACAAAGCCAGCTCCATAAAGACATGGATGACCAGCTTGTGAGGAGGAACTCGATTGTCCTGTACAGAGTCCTGACCTCAACCTACTGAACACCTTTGGGATAAAGTGGGACGCCAATGGTGAGCCGGGTCTTCTCATCCAACATCAGTACCTGACCTCACTAATGTTCCTTAGGCTGATTGGACATTTCCACAGACACCCCACAAAATCTTGTGGAAAGTCTTCCCAGAAGAGTGGGGGATGGTATAGCTGCAGGCACCAATCTCATCTTAGTACAGAGACCGCGATACCCACAGCCAACAATTGTACCCAAAGCCCTGAAGAAGGGAGAACCCAATCCCTGGACATGAGTTGGCCACGTTTTATGTCCTACACCAATAAAGTCATCCTTGTTTTCCATCTGGCTGGAGTTTCCAAGACTTTCTAATTATACGTGGTGCTCCTCACCCACCTCCATGATCGCATCTCCATGGAAGACCCACCGGATGAAGAACGTAGAGAAGAACTATGGGAACTCAAGTTCCTCTAGTTGGGTCCTGCACAGGAGTGAGGATTCCCCCCCAATGTGGTGTCACTTAGAGGTGACAGAAGGAAGGAGTCTGCTCCTCCATAGTGAAGTATGGGGAATATAAATCCCGCCCACTGGTGGGGGAGCCAGTAAAACAGGAGTATGTGCTGCTGGGTGGGGGAGATTACATGTAAATGCCCTTCAAGCAAACCTGTTTGTAGGACGCCCCCCCCCCCCAAGTGTTCCCCACCATTCGGTGCTCTGATTTACTCCCCTACACCCTGGCAGTGGACTGCCCCTTTCAGAGCTCAGAAAACACCCCATCCCCCCATCATTCACCGGGGCCTCAACTGGACTCAGAATAGTAAAGTTTTATTTTTCACACAGAAGCTGCCAGCTGGTGACTCTCCTGATCCAGCCAGCAACTTCCTTCCATAGATTCACACAAGATTCACCTGAATTCATAGATTCACACAGGATTCACTTGTATGCGGAGATTCACACAGGATTCACCTATATTCACACAGGAAAGATTCACCTGGATTCAGATATTCATACAGCATTGACCTAGAATCATGGATTCACACAGGAAAGATTCACCTGAATTCATAGATTCACACAAGATTCACCTGTATGCGGAGATTCACACAAGATTCACCTGAATTCATAGATTCACACAAGATTCACCTGTATGCGGAGATTCACACAGGATTCACCTATATTCACACAGGAAAGATTCACCTGTACGCGGAGATTCACACAGGAAAGATTCACCTGAATTCATAGATTCACACAAGATTCACCTGTACGCGGAGATTCACACAAGATTCACCTGAATTCATAGATTCACACAAGATTCACCTGAATTCATAGATTCACACAAGATTCACCTGAATTCATAGATTCACACAAGATTCACCTGTATGCGGAGATTCACACAAGATTCACCTGAATTCATAGATTCACACAAGATTCACCTGTATGCGGAGATTCACACAGGATTCACCTATATTCACACAGGAAAGATTCACCTGTACGCGGAGATTCACACAGGAAAGATTCACCTGAATTCATAGATTCACACAAGATTCACCTGTATGCGGAGATTCACACAGGAAAGATTCACCTGAATTCATAGATTCACACAAGATTCACCTGAATTCATAGATTCACACAAGATTCACCTGAATTCATAGATTCACACAAGATTCACCTGAATTCATAGATTCACACAAGATTCACCTGTATGCGGAGATTCACACAAGATTCACCTGTATGCGGAGATTCACACAGGATTCACCTATATTCACACAGGAAAGATTCACCTGTACGCGGAGATTCACACAGGAAAGATTCACCTGAATTCATCATAGATTCACACAAGATTCACCTGTATGCGGAGATTCACACAGGAAAGATTCACCTGAATTCATAGATTCACACAAGATTCACCTGTACGCGGAGATTCACACAAGATTCACCTGAATTCATAGATTCACACAAGATTCACCTGAATTCATAGATTCACACAAGATTCACCTGAATTCATAGATTCACACAAGATTCACCTGTATGCGGAGATTCACACAGGAAAGATTCACCTGGATTCATAGATTCACACAGGATTCACCTGAATTCATAGATTCACACAAGATTCACCTGGATTCATAGATTCACACAGGATTCACCTGAATTCATAGATTCACACAAGATTCACCTGGATTCATAGATTCACACAAGATTCACCTGAATTCATAGATTCACACAAGATTCACCTGAATTCATAGATTCACACAAGATTCACCTGTATGCGGAGATTCACACAAGATTCACCTGAATTCATAGATTCACACAAGATTCACCTGTATGCGGAGATTCACACAGGAAAGCTGTATTTTGAGTCCAATCAAGTTCCAGCCTTTAGCTGGGGTCCTGATGAAGGGGGGGGGATGGGAAGGGTTGGTGGTTCCGGACCCCTGAGAGGCGTCGGCTGTTTTTAGGGCCAACCAATGAGTGAGCTTGGACTTGTCTCTGATTGGCCCGCCTCTCCTCCTATCACTTTTCTTCCAGAAGCAGCATGTTGTCAGTGTCCCCGATGGAGAGATTCACCCTTCCATCTGTCCGGTGCCCCTCCTGGGCGGGGAGGGTTATTCGTCCAATGGGGGCAGAGGGAACGCCCCTGGTTTGGGGAGATTTTCTCTCACTTCCTGTCACATCACCAGGACCCAGCACCTCCCCGCACCTCCTCATCAGACATCACTCCCATCCCCCGCCATCCATTCCTCCTACACACAGCCGCAGGGAGTTCTCCTGTAAGGATCCCGCCTGTGGACAGTATGTGACGTCACACAAGAGTTTCCTTCCTGTCGCTGCAAAACACAAACCCCTCCCAGAAAAATCCAACCAATCAGACGACACTCCAGAGCGGGAACCACCCCTTTCCATTCTATACGTTCACACATTTACAGAAAATGAAGTTCTTGTGCCGGGGGAGCCGACGTCCTGAGGACCCCGCTGGCATGTGATGGGCGGAGGGGCCCTTTAATTCTCCAATATATCCCCAGATCCTGAGCCCCTTCCTTGGCTTCCTGCTTGTATTAAAGGGCCCCCAGCTTCCTCCCTGTATTAAAGGGCCCCCACCTTCCTCCCTGTATTAAAGGGCCCCCACCTTCCTCCCTGTATTAAAGGGGCCCCCACCTTCCTCCCTGTATTAAAGGGCCCCCACCTTCCTCCCTGTATTAAAGGGGCCCCCACCTTCCTCCCTGTATTAAATAAAGGGGCCCCCACCTTCCTCCCTGTATTAAATAAAGGGGCCCCCACCTTCCTCCCTGTATTAAATAAAGGGCCCCCCACCTTCCTCCCTGTATTAAATAAAAGGGCCCCCACCTTCCACTAACCCACAAACCAAAGCCCCCCCCATATATGGACCCCCCATGTATGACGATTCCTCAGGGTGTGGGTGTCTCTAAAGCCAAGCGTTCCCTTTCCTCTGTATATAGTGGGAATAGGAACCCTGTCAGTGCCAGCTGTGTCCCCCGGGGGGAAGTGGGGGGAATCCCTCCATAGGGGACGCAGACAGTTGTCACCCCATTGGTCACTAAGACCAACGCAAACACGGAATCCACCCAGAGGGGCCACAGAGAGGAATAAAGGGGCTCCAACCCCCCCTCCCCCATACACAACTAAAAGAAAGTTGGCATTGCATGGACGTTACCTGACCGGAGTTATCTGGAATGACAGATGCCAAGTGAGGAGGAACACGTATGGGGACAGACATGTATGAGGACAAACACGTATCAGTACAGACACGTATGGGGACAGACATGTATGAGGATAAACACATATCGGTACAGACACGTATGGGGACGAACGACATGTATGAGGATAAACCAGTATGGGGACAGACATGTATGAGGACAAACACGTATCAGTACAGACACGTATGGGGACAGACATGTATGAGGACAAACACGTATCAGTACAGACACGTATGGGGACAGACATGTATGAGGATAAACACATATCGGTACAGACACGTATGGGGACGAACATGTATGAGGATAAACCAGTATGGGGACAGACATGTATGAGGACAAACACGTATCAGTACAGACACGTATGGGGACAGACATGTATGAGGACAAACACGTATCAGTACAGACACGTATGGGGACGAACATGTATGGGGGCAGACACATATGGGCACAGACATGTATGTGGACGGACACATATAAGGACAGACATGTATGTGGATGGACACTTGTGGGGACAGATATGAATGGGGATAGACACGCATGGAGGCAGACACGTATTAGGGTAGACATGTATGTGGATGAACACGTATGAGCACAGACATGTATGTGAATGAGCACGTATGAGTTCAAGCACATATAAAGGACAGACACGTATGGGGACAGACACGTGTGGGGACAGACACGTATGGGGACAGACACATATGTGGATGGACACATATGAGGACAAGCACGTATAAGGACACATATTTGGATGGAGACGTATGGGGACAGACCCGTATGTGGACGGACACGTATGAGGACAGACCCGTATGTGGACGGACCCGTATGGGGACAGACCCGTATGTGGACGGACCCATATGGGGACAGACACGTATGGGGACAGACCCGTATGAGGACAGACACGTATGGGCACAGACACGTATGGGGACAGACACGTATGGGGACAGACACGCATGGGGACGGATGTGTATGAAGACAGACACATATGAGGACAGACATGTAAGGGGACAGACATGTAAGGGGACAGACATGTAAGGGGACAGACATGAATAGGTAAAGACACGTATGTGGACAGATGTGTATGAGGACAGACATGTAAGGGGACAGACACGTATGTGGACAGATGTGTATGAGGACAGACATGCATGAGGACAGACATGTATGAGGACAAGCATGTATGGGAATAGACATGAATGAGGACAGACACGTGTGAGGACAGACATATATGGGGATATATATGTATGAGGACAGACACGTGTGAGGACAGACATATATGGGGATATATATGTATGAGGATAGACACGTATGAGGATGGACACGTATGAGGACAGCTCACATTTCCGGTTCCTATCTGCAGATCAGTGAAGGAGTGGAAACAGCTGGGGATATGTCGGGGAATCTGGGGGTATGTCGGGGAATCTGGGAGTATGTCGGGGAATCTGGGGGTATGTCGGGGAATCTGGGGGTATGTCGGGGAATCTGGGGGTATGTCGGGGAATCTGGGGGTATGTCGGAGAATCTGGGGGTATGTCGGAGAATCTGGGGGTATGTCGGGGAATCTGGGGGTATGTCGGGGAATCTGGGGGTATGTCGAGGAATCTGGGAGTATGTCGGGGAATCTGGGGGTATGTCGGGGAATCTGGGGGTATGTCGGGGAATCTGGGGGTATGTCGGAGAATCTGGGGGTATGTCGGAGAATCTGGGGGTATGTCGGGGAATCTGGGGGTATGTCGGGGAATCTGGGGGTATGTCGAGGAATCTGGGAGTATGTCGGGGAATCTGGGGGTATGTCGGGGAATCTGGGGGTATGTCGAGGAATCTGGGAGTATGTCGGGGAATCTGGGGGTATGTCGGGGAATCTGGGGGTATGTAGGGGAATCTGGGGGTATGTCGGGGAATCTCGGGGTATGTCGGTAGATCTGGGGGTATGTCGGAGAGGGGTATGTAGGTGGTTGGGTCTACTCCAAGCATGGAATGGCTTCACACATGGAACTTTCCAACACGTCAACGGCCGACCTACATGGGGTGACGGGGGGGGTGACCCACCTTTTTGCAGTTTATTGGAATTCTCGTCAATCCAGAAGAAGAGGTTGGCAAAGTCGCAGTCGCACGTCCAAGGGTTGCCCTCCAGGCGGACGGTCCTCAGGGACGGCAGCGATTCCAGCACCGCCACGCTCAGACTTTGCAGATTATTGTCATTGAGCTCCAGCACCTGAAGAGCGTCCAAGTTCACGAAGGCGTCCTGGTGAACCTCGGACAGATTATTGTTCCCCAGACTCAGCTTGATGAGCCGGTCGGCCGATTTGAAGATCCCGGCTTCCAGTTGGGTCAGGTTGTTGTAACTGAGGTCCAGGAAGACCAGGCGGGTGGACGTGCTGAAGGTGCCTTCTTCCAGCGAGCTCAGCGAGTTGTTCCGCAGGTCCAGGTAGACCAGGTCGGCGTAGAACAAGAACAGGTCCCCCGGGATGGACTGGATGTGGTTGTTGGCGGCCAGAAGTTTCCGAATGTCCAAAGGGAAGAGGTTGGGAAGGCTGGGAAGTCCCTGGTCCCGGCAGTCGATGGTGTGGTAGTCCAGGCAGACGCACACGGACGGACACAGAAGGCTTCCCGGTAACATGATGGACAGGCACACGCACAGGAGGCATGGCAGCATTGTCAGGGATTTGCAGGACTAGGACAGAGACATTGCTGCAACGCCGACTCCTTGTGTGAATGGATCCTGGAGATCGCATAACATCACAGATCAGATGGCAGCAGACTTGGGGGAGGGGAACACACAGGGAATGCTCCAGTGTAGTCACCCAATCAATGAAATCCACAATGGATCCGAGCCGGGAGCATCCTGAGCACCTGTGGACGAGCCTACCGGAGCCGGAGGGAAGGCAGCTCCTGTATATATATGTATACCTCCCGTCTTCTGTCCCTTCACATCCAAGAGACTGGCTGATCCTGCCAGAAATCCATAGAAAATGCCACTTCCTGCACCCTCCTCTGCCTCTGCCGCCCTGACGGCTCAGTCTACAGACCCCTCCCTTCATAATATGGAGATGAAGAGAGGGGGAGGTGTTCTGTAGTCCAAATCAGCCATAAGCAGCTTAGGGTGACAACCCTGCTCCTCCACAGGTACAGTACAGCAAGCGTTGTCACCTTGGGATCAGGGCTGGATCTAGCCTGTCAGGGGGGCAGAGGATGGGAGGTCAGCAGGGCAGAGGACGGGGAGGGGGGGGGGCCACTGCCGGCAGGGCAGAGGATGGGGATCACCGCCGGCATGGCAGAGGATGGGGTACAGCTCCTTCCCCCATCCCTGCACTGCACACAGCCTGAGCTCCTCCTCCCTACACAATGCCTACCTGAGGACAGTATATTGTCAAACTAGGGCGGTAAAGTATCAGATTAGGGCGGTAAAGTATCAGATTAGGAAGTATAGTGGCAGGTTAGGGTTGGCTTTGGGAGGCACAACTAAAATCTGGGGGGGGGGTCATAGCCCACCCCAGCACCCCCCTAGATCTGGCCATGCCTGGGACAGGAGGTGTGTTACTGGCAGGATCACCAGGAGATAATAAAGGGAAAAAACTGTCAAAAGAAAACTAATGCACCCATCACATGTATGTAGACCCATCACATGTATGTACACCCATCACATGCATGTAGACCCATCACATGTATGTACACCCATCGCATGTATGTAGACCCTATCGCATGTATGTAGACCCATCGCATGTATGTAGACCCATCACATGTATGTACACCCATCGCATCTATGTACACCCATCACATGTATGTACACCCATCACATCTATGTAGACCCATCACATGTATGTAGACCCATCACATGTATGTACACCCTTCACATCTATGTAGACCCATCGCATCTATGTACACCCATCGCATGTATGTAGACCCATCACATGTATGTACACCCATCACATCTATGTAGACCCATCACATGTATATACACCCATCGCATCTATGTACACCCATCACATGTATATACACCCATCGCATCTATGTACACCCATCGCATGTATGTAGACCCATCGCATCTATGTAGACCCATTACATGTATGTACACCCATCGCATGTATGTAGACCCATCGCATCTATGTAGACCCATCACATGTATGTAGACCCATTACATGTATGTACACCCATCACATCTATGTAGACCCATCACATGTATGTAGACCCATCACATGTATGTACACCCTTCACATCTATGTAGACATGTGTGATTCGTTCCACATCGAAATTCGGATGAATTTTCTGTTACTCAGATGTATCCAAATTCCGAATCACCATAGTAACGAATGTAAACAAATCCTCGGAAATAACAAAACAAAATCCAACCAAACGAGTGAAATTCGATTCAAATTCCGGATGAAATATGAAATGTAAACATATTGCGATTGTTTGGTGTAAATATTTCGGCAGCTGCATTCAAATAAAAAAAAAATGTCATTCAAATACCGAATTCGGAAAATTCTAATCGCATAAAAAATAAATAAATAAATGAAAGCAAACGAATCCAAAACCAAATGGAATGAATGTAACTAAAGGAAATGAGTGGATTAATGAATGGAAACACATTGATTGGTTCTGTGTGCGTCCGAGGAAACACATTGATTGGTTCTGTGTGCGTCCGAGGAAACACATTGATTGGTTCTGTGTGCGTCCGAGGAAACACATTGATTGGTTCTGTGTGCGTCCGAGGAAACACATTGATTGGTTCTGTGTGCGTCCCAGGAAACACATTGATTGGTTCTGTGTGCGTCCGAGGAAACACATTGATTGGTTCTGTGTGCGTCCCAGGAAACACGTTGATTGGTTCTGTGTGCGTCCGAGGAAACACATTGATTGGTTCTGTGTGCGTCCGAGGAAACACGTTGATTGGTTCTGTGTGCGTCCGAGGAAACACATTGATTGGTTCTGTGTGCGTCCCAGGAAACACATTGATTGGTTCTGTGTGCGTCCGAGGAAACACATTGATTGGTTCTGTGTGCGTCCGAGGAAACACATTGATTGGTTCTGTGTGCGTCCCAGGAAACACATTGATTGGTTCTGTGTGCGTCCCAGGAAACACGTTGATTGGTTCTGTGTGCGTCCGAGGAAACACATTGATTGGTTCTGTGTGCGTCCGAGGAAACACATTGATTGGTTCTGTGTGCGTCCGAGGAAACACATTGATTGGTTCTGTGTGCGTCCGAGGAAACACATTGATTGGTTCTGTGTGCGTCAAAGGAAACACATTGATTGGTTCTGTGTGCGTCCCAGGAAACACGTTGATTGGTTCTGTGTGCGTCCGAGGAAACACATTGATTGGTTCTGTGTGCGTCAAAGGAAACACATTGATTGGTTCTGTGTGCGTCCGAGGAAACACATTGATTGGTTCTGTGTGCGTCCGAGGAAACACATTGATTGGTTCTGTGTGCGTCCGAGGAAACACATTGATTGGTTCTGTGTGCGTCACAGGAAACACATTGATTGGTTCTGTGTGCGTCCCAGGAAACACATTGATTGGTTCTGTGTGCGTCCGAGGAAACACATTGATTGGTTCTGTGTGCGTCCGAGGAACAACCCCCCCCCACAGAGACCCTGACACCAAACAACCCCCCCCCCCACAGAGACCCTGACACCGAACAACCCCCCCCACAGAGAGACCCTGACACCGAACAACCCCCCCCCCCCCACAGAGACCCTGACACCCAAACAACCCCCCCCACAGAGACCCTGACACCAAACAACCCCCCCCCCCCACAGAGAGACCCCGACACCGAACAATCCCCCCCCCCCCCCCCACAGAGACCCTGACACCAAACAACCCCCCCCCCACAGAGAGACCCTGACACCAAACAACCCCCCCCCCCCACAGAGACCCTGACACCGAACAACCCCCCCCCCCCACACAGAGAGACCCTGACACCAAACAACCCCCCCCCCACAGAGACCCTGACACCAAACAACCCCCCCCCCCACAGAGAGACCCTGACACCAAACAACCCCCCCCCCACAGAGAGACCCTGACACCAAACAACCCCCCCCCCACAGAGACCCTGACACCAAACAACCCCCCCCCACAGAGAGACCCTGACACCAAACAACCCCCCCCCACAGAGAGACCCTGACCCCCCCCCACAGAGACCCTGACACCAAACAACCCCCCCCCCCCCACAGAGAGACCCTGACACCAAACAACCCCCCCCCCACAGAGAGACCCTGACACCAAACAACCCCCCCCCCCACAGAGAGACCCTGACACCAAACAACCCCCCCCCCCCCACAGAGAGACCCTGACACCAAACAACCCCCCCCCACAGAGAGACCCTGACACCAAACAACCCCCCCCCACAGAGACCCTGACACCAAACAACCCCCCCCCCCACAGAGAGACCCTGACACAACCCCCCCCCCACAGAGAGACCCTGACACCAAACAAACAACCCCCCCCACAGAGAGACCCTGACACCAAACAACCCCCCCCCCCACAGAGAGACCCTGACACCAAACAACCCCCCCCCCCACAGAGAGACCCTGACACCAAACAACCCCCCCCCACAAGAGACCTGAACACCAAAACAACCCCCCCCCACAGAGACCCTGACCCTGACAACCCCCCCCAAAGAGAGACCCTGACACCAAACACACCCCCCCCACAGAGACCCTGA